ACAAGCCCATTATACATAAAATAATTGATAAGAAGGAAGTATTTGGTTTTGATCAATTTATTGATTTTAGATCTGAGTGGATAAATATTCTATCAAACTGATAAACTTAAATCATTCTCCCTTCTGTGTTGGTGACTGTCCAGACGCATCAGCTGTCTGCATTATCATTGGTGTTCAGCCTCTGAAGCTCCTCCTCCAGCGTGCTGATTCGTTGCATCAGCTCCTTCCTGTCCTGCTGGGCCCTGACCTCGATCTGCTGCTCCACCTCCACAAGCTTCCTCTCGTACCAGTGCTCCAGCTGAGTGGACACCGTGTCAAAGAAACGCTGGGTCACCTGACAGGAAGGATATGAAGTTTTAAAGAATCCTTTAATTATAAAACGGAATGTTCATCGGCACACACTTTATAAATCCACAAGTAAACGGTCCAACATTTTGGGAATTCTGCTTATTTTCTTTCTGTCTAAGATTAAGAAGAGAAGATTGACATCTGTCTGTTTTTGTGTTAAATACATGGGGGGGAAATTAGCCTAGCTTAGCATAAAGACTGGACACTGACCAAACCCTCCATGTTGCCATTTATAATGAGTGAGAAAAATTACAGGTAGAAATGATGGCTAAATCTAAAAAATATTGATCTGCTTGATTGACAGGTTCAGCACAAGCCTTTCACTGCTCATTGCCGTGGCCAGTTCCTCATCCAACCCAGTAATACACTCACCTCCATAGCATGCAGATAGTTCCTCTCCTGGTTGAATGAGGGCTCCGTGGGTTTGATGAAACATTCCAGTGTTGTGGTGCTGTCAGTGTGCGTCTTTTCATGCTCGCAGGAACTCATCAACTCTCCGAAGGGTTTGATGTGTTGCCTGTCATGTCTGCGTTCCTGATGGGGGATTAATCCAGGTCCTTGTTCACTGATGTTGGACTGACTGCTGCTGCTTGAGAAGCCCCCCCCACACAATGGCACCACTGCAGCTACAGGACTGTCCTGCACTCCAGAAGGTTTCCAGAGGGGGTCAGCAGAGCCCAGGGGGAGTTCTGTGATGTGGTTGCTGGGTGGATGAAACAGGGCTGTGTTCTCGTAATCATCTGATAGAAGTGGGGTTAGAAAAATAAATATTTCATCCACTTGACACAAAATGAAAATAAAACATGATCAATAAGCAATATTTGTCTGTCCATTGCAAATACACACAAACCATTCATCATTCATTCCGTTTCAAGTTCTTTTTAACAAAGTTACAGTTCAGATAAAAAACTCTGAATTTCTGCCTCAGTCTAACAGTGTGTTTGTCATCCTTCTTTATCTTACCCTCCATTTTTTATGTCATGTGTGCTTTCTAACTAGATATGAAAAAATGCATACTAGATGTATTTCTACTCGAATTTTGACAAATGCAGTTGTGAATTGTTCCCTGTGGTCTTCCTCAATGAATTATTGAAACTGGGATGGCTCATTCGCGATCTACCACAACAACTGAACTTTGTCCAGGTGAAACTGCCTGCTGAAGAAAACCATGAGGTGCACCTTTAATTTCAGTGCAGTTTATGATTTGGGAATTTTAATTTTAATTCATAGTGGGTTGCAACATAACCCATTTAAGTTAAATGGCTTAAAACATAAAAGGTCAAATTATTGTTAAATATTAAGTTGCGTCTATTAGTCTACATGAGTTATCTGTTTAGTTACCTTGCTCTGCTGTTATTGCTAATAATCTTCCTCTTTCTTGGGCAGTTTCAATCACAGGTCATGAAGTGATAATATTAATACAGTGATGAACACCTCTTTTCAAAGGGGTTGTTTAACTGCATTGTAGAAGTTCACATACCTGGTGACCTTTTCAGTCTCATTTCAAAGTATGTCCTCCTCCCCACCTGCCCGTGCTCAAGGTCCCCTTGGCCAGATTTTGTTGGCAGGATGTTGACATAGTTGGCCAGTGAAGTGCTGCTGTCACCAGACACCACAGACAGCAGGGGGAGTGATTCCAGATCAGCGTCTGCCTCAGACAGCTCCACAGATGGTGAAGGGAGGAGTTTGTAATACTGGCTATTAGTTGGGATGTGGACGTCTGTGTTGTTTAGGTGAGACATCCACCACATCTTCAGTTCATGACTCACTGCTGCCTGCTTGAGATAAGACACAAAGTTGTTGTATGATAAAATGTATCCATAAAGAAAGCAGAGATTAGTCGAGAGTCACCTGCAAGAAGTGAGAGATACCTGTGTCTTCAGAGCCTCCTCTCTGTCCTGGGCAGCTCTCTGCTCCATCCTGTAAATCATGTTCTTCCTCTCTGCTGCTGCTCTTTCCTGATTCAGCACATTCAACAATTTAATCTGCCCAAAAGTAGAAAAATCTGTAAAAGCACTAAATCAACCAATTTGAACATATCAGTCAAACAATTTACATTTAGGTCTGAATGAACTAAACCATTATTTTATGGCACTGAAGCTGGAGAAGAAGTTTGAAACCAGCATCTGTTAGCAGAGATAAGTGAAAGGAGACCTGGTGTTTGTTCCTTTGGTCCATTTTGCCCATTCGGCTACTGACGCGCTCCTGGACATTGAGAATGTGCAGCATCATCTCCTCTTGAGTGGCTTTCATTTGACCCTCCAGCTTCTTCAGTAAAGGCTTACAGTGGCATCCACTGGCTGGTGCCTAAAGAGAACATGCTCAACATGTTTTAGCAACAAGATGTTTTAAAGCTCAGCTCCAGGCACTGTTTAATGAGTTTCGCGAAAATGTGCCCTAGCTTTGCTCTGGAAACTTCAGATTTAGAATCAATGCTTTTCAAAAATGGTTTATGTACGTAGTTTACAAAATTGGATTTGTCAGTTACCTGTATAATGTTGCCATCCTCATCATGGTACTGTGTGAAAAGCTGTGTGAAACCACTGTCACAGAGTAGTTCTCTCTTATTGTGAGAGTCAGTCTTGCCATTTCTCGGATCATCTTCGTCCAAGGTCTTCAGAGGAGTGAAAGTAACACACTGTTACTAAAAAGTGCAAATTCTTACTTTCCTCAATAAAGTTCCTATTTGTATTTCCTATGATATGCAAAAAGATTATGTGGTGGTCTTAGACCAGTGGAAACTACAATGTGGTTGTGCTAAATGGGTTATCACTACAAGCTTAGCTTATTTAGTGAACCACAGGAACAACTGCAAGAACATTTTAAAAGATCCATGTTATGCATCGCCTTCACCGCTAAGGCTGTAAAAAAACAATTGATTCATTTCTGCGGGATAACAGCTACACACAGCTATACCTTTATGTGAGTTGAGCATGCTGGTCCTGGTGACTGCTGTTGTTCACCCACCTGCTTCCTGTCTCTTCTCCTGCAGTGGCTGTCGGGGTGGGTGATCGTGGCTCGGGTCTTGCGATAAAGCTGCTGCTGCTGCTGTCGCTGAGGTTCCAGCTCTGCTGCGGTTCTGCTCTGCATTTGTTCACTGTTGGGACATTCCTCCACAACAGAACAGCTGTCCTCCTCAGGACACAGACAAAGGGAACAGCTTCTTATTAATTTTAAAAACTCTTATATTAAAGCAAACAGAATAAATCTGATTTTTGCTAGTTTCTTACTTTATTGGGCAGTATTTCTACTCTGGTCACAGACTGGGTCCTGCGCTCAGATATCAATCTTTCTCTTCGTTTCCATATTGTTCTTCCTCGCATGAAGCGATGTACCTGAAGACATGCCAATCAAAAAGCCTGAATGCCAAACAACATGGTTGCTCGTGCTATCAAAAAATGTCTGGATTCAAAGTATTTGTCTCATAGAAAAATGGGGGCTTTTATTATTATATTGAGAACACTAACCTGAGGAGCCCTGGCCAGAAGAATTGCCATATCTTTATGATTGTTGTCTCTCGCCTTGTCGAGTGCTGTTTTACCTGCCTTGAAGGTACATTACATACAGTACACAGGAAAACAATGAAAAGAATCCACTTGAGTATGTGTTATGGGCACATACAAATACTTTGTGGCTTATTGATTTTACTCTTAAAACTGGGGCTCCAAGGTGTGTCAGACATTGATATAAATCTAAGATAGGTAATCAGATATTTGAGACGTTATGTGTGGTGTTTATCTTGTAAAAGGGAACTTACATTGTTTTTGATTTTCCCATCTGTCCCTGCCTCCAGTAAGAGCTGAACTGTTTTCTTATGGTTCAGAGCAGCAGCCACATGTAGAGCGGTTTCCCCTCCCTACAGGAAAACACAGAAACCAACCCAGTCTCCTAGATATTACAGTTATATAAAAATAATATGTAACAGAAAATATGTTCTATATTTTCTTTAAGGTAATGATTATATGTTGT